TTAAGGGGATGCTGGAGTCTGTCTGTTTTACCGACAACGCGAAAGTTATGTATGTGTGCGTATATGTATATTACATAAAAAGAAGAGAGAGCAATAATACGATACATCTTTCCTTGTCTACCAGATTGCAGCGCCATCTTATTATCATGCAGTCCTCTATTTATCATTCTACAGCTGTATTTGCATTTATAAATTTTTCTCTAACCCTATCTTTTTTTTCTAGACTTTTAATCTTAGTTCCAAGTACACAATATTGTTCTTGCATGTTCTCTCTAGGTCTCTCCGGCCTCATTTTGCAGATATAAACTATAGAATTTTTGTATAAGCAAATATTATCGTCATGTGACAGCTCTACATGCCAAAATATTTAATTTTTTTTCGTTTTTTATATAAAGTCGAGCAGACGGACTTTTATTTTTGTGCGAACTTTAATCGTGTACAAGAAATTTGCAATTCTGTAAAGCCAATTAAAAGATATCCCTAATTAAAAAATGTCGGTAAAACAGAGAGACTCCAGCATCACCTTAAAGTTTTAATTACTTTCGGGCGATTGCGTCTCGATTAACCGTGAACTCAGTTGCGTTCATTGTACGGTGTTGAAATGTAAAATTGTTCAGTTTTTCGTTTATCAGCGGAAATGCATAATCTTGAAGTTGTTCTTTTATTAACGGGATCATACAAGTGCGGGTCAGAACGCAGAACTTTGAGTCGAATATCATCGCGATACGTTTGATTGAATAATTAATCTTATCCGTGCTTAATTGTATCGTAATATTTACTCATCGATAGTTTAAATTCGACATTTGTACATCGGCGATCCTTTTGACTAAAATTCGTACCATCGGGCAAATTTACAAGGAATACCGAGTGCAAATAGTAACTTCGCATCGTATATTTTTCGTGTTTTCTTGTCGCGTGTGATTAGTGTTAAAAGTGTTAAAACAAAGTGCCACGAGGTCTCGTCAATCATCCCACGGGGTTTGGTCCATCATGTCACAAGTTTCGGTCAATTATGCTACGAACTGTGAGTACACATTTCATATCAGATTGATTGCGAGGTATTAAATATGAATAATACAATACCTTTTTATATTTGGCAGAAAGTTCATTTATTTATTACACATGAGTACGCGCGAATTAAATCGTACATCGTAAGTTTGTCAGCAAGTCTCAACGAAAACGAAATTTAATGAAATTTAATGAATTTCTGATTATTTCGGACGGTTGATTATGTCTTAACCGTTGATTGAGTCAACCGTTACGTTATATATATTTGTATCGTTTCGTATTGATGTTAAAATGTATAATCTTAAAATTTTTTGTTTATTAACGCGCGAGAGTGTGATGAAATTCATTAAATTTGAAAGTTATTTTCGTCACAATATCAACTATAGTAATATTTCCGTATAAGAAATTGAAAAATAAGATCAGTTGAATAGCAAAAATTAATATTGTCCGAATCGCGGGAGCTAATAGCAAATGACAGATCGGTACAGTATTTCGCGTCTGACTTTAATTTTACGCGATACCAATCTTGATAGCTAATAATTCGAAAACTGTCCCAACCCCGAGACTTTCGTATGAATTTTTCAATATTATTACACAGCGGTTGTGAAGATATTTTACTTTCTACTTTTAATTGCATTAATTGGAAGAAGTAAATAAATGTGAAAGTGTAAATACGACAAGCATCGCGTATATTTGTGTTTATATAAAATTTTTCTTGCACACATCTTTTAAAAAATATGTTGTAGCAAGTGCTTTTTTTACTTGATATATATTTTTTAATATAATAACTTGCGAATACTTACCGGGGATAATTTTCTGCGAGCGGCAGATCCTCCATTTATTTTTTAATATAAAAATTCCACTGAATTTTTTCTAGCAAATAAAAATAAAGTCTCAATACCGTAGATAGTGCCAGAACGAACGCAGTAATAGCATTGAGCTACGTTTTAAAGAAAGTCTAGTGTTTTTTTACAAAAAGTACAATATCTATGATATTTATACTTATTTATATTAAAAAGGAATTTATGTATTTTCCATAATTTTATTTAATGATTTTACTTACAAACTTCGCTGCAGCTGTTGTATGTTGCACGAGAGTTTCCGTTCAGAGGGCAATTCCTGCCGATTAACTGTTATATGGAGGATTTGTCGTATTTTTAATGAGTCGCGCTTCCTGCAGACAAGCTGCAAAACGTAAAGCAAAGTTCGAGATACGCGAGATTGCTCGTTCTTCAAAATGAGGATATGCGAGGAGGTTATTGTTAAGAATCCAAATTCCAACGTCACGGAATAATGATATTTTTTTGATAATTTATTTAATCAATTATAATAAACATTTCTCTTGTAATAATATACAAAACGACCGTAAAATCTTAAATTACGTTACGAAATAATTATCTCTTTCGATTGGCAACGCGCTAAGTTAACTCCTTTTGACTCTTTATAATACAACATGATTATTATTTGTAATAACTACAGTCGTCTTAATTTAAAAATGACTACAATTTTGCAAAAAGATTACATAAAGTTTAATAATATGTACATGTATATATTTTGGGGGGGGGGGGGAATTTATCTTTGTCTTCTTGAATAGCCTTATTGAAACTTAGGAATAATTTTTTGGAAATAACGTTTTTAGTGTATAGTAGAAATGAGAGCAGAAAGGGTTAGCCTGGTCTCTCATCTCGAACACGATATTCGCAATGCTTTCTTTGGCTGTTAACGTGTCGTGTCGCGATACCATTTGGCACGAATTTCATTACACTTCTATGTAAAGCTATCTTCTTGTTATCACTCGCGAGAAGTTCTATACTATTATTTTAACTTACAACGTTTCAAAAGCAATTTACGCTAAGGAACTATTATCCTTTGACGCAGGCATTAACATATCCTTGTCGCTCACAAGGATAGCAACGCTGGCGATTTTATGAATAGGAATTAATTAATTTTTAATTTAGTCACAAGTAACTTCTTTTATAAACGCCGTCCCTAACGTAATATCCGACTTGATTTTGCGTGAAGTCTCAGTTGTACATTTCCATTTGACTCGAAAATGCGCAAAATCCTACTTGCAAAAAAATAATTTACAAATGTACAGAATCGATCGCGAGGAATATGCGAAATCAACGATAAGTTCCTTTATTTAAAGCGATTTGTCGCCGTATTTCTATAAATAACTACTATTTGCCATTAAACCCCGCGATAATTATCGTATTTACACTTACTTTTACATTTGCTTAACTATTTCTTCTAATTAACTTGATTCTTCTTTCGTATAAACTCGCACCGAGTTTCGTTTTCTTAGCGTATTATTATATATTTTTGATCGTGTGTGATTTTTAATCTCTGTTTTTCGTATACATATATATATTAAATTGATTTCATGGCCGCAACTTTTTATGGTATCTGTCTTGCAATGTTTATTACGTATTTACGGAAAACTGCCGTTTAACTTCTCTTTTGCATTTGCTCCCAAAATATAATGTTCGACTTGAGCTTGCCGGGTGAAATCACGGTGGTGTCGTTGTCCTCTTGTTTCGATCGCACGACTTCCGTCCGATTCGTTGATTGCTCTTCAACCAATGATCGGCTGACTGGCGGCGACGTCAGTTTTCCGGGCGTTTGACGCAGCCCTTCTCGAAATTCCCTCGAAAGAGATCTGGCTGTCAAACTGTGCATCTGCCTGGGCGTTTCGACTATCTGTATCTCGGGGGTGGACGACCTGTCCTTGGCGTCATCGACTTTCGCCACCTGCGGGGCAGAAAATCGATTTGATTGATCTATTTAAAAAATGCTCCGCGCCGATTCTAAAGTTTTCGTGACTAAAAATACAAAAGACATTTATTTGAAAGTATAAGTTTCGTGAATATGTTATTCAAATTAATATGGTTAATCTGTCTAATATGACATCGTATTTTTTAGAATTTCATTACAACTTAATTCAGCAATTTACGCTTATTGTTAATTAGAGCGAACGACAAATTCGTGTGATAAATGAAGTATTCAGAACAAGAGTGAGAGTCACATCGCAGTTTACAGATCTACCTTTAAATCTGCAATCGTACTTAATTGAATCGGGATAAAAGTTGTTTTTATAGACATTTTTCTAACGATGAATTTTCCTATCTCTAAAATAAATCCGTCTATCTGACTATTTTGTCCATCCGCGTCTCATCTATCTTTATTACACGTATCATTCTTGCTCCGAACAAACGAATTTACCGAGATTCGACATAAATCCGAGATCTATCTGAAATCTAACTGAAATGAAATGACTTTTTCGTTAGTTACCGAAGCTCTGATTATTTTCGCGGGCACGGCAGTCTCCATTTCGGAAGTCTGTCGCTTGCCAAACGCTTCCGCGAGTCTTTTCACCGAGGGCATCGCTCGCAACTCCTTGTCCGTCTCCGCAGACTGTGCTTTAGTCCTGATATATATGTCCTCGAAAGATCTATCGACGTCGGACGAAATTTCGTCGTAATCGTTCAGCAATGAAGCATCGTCCGCGCTAATCGCGTCAGGTTCCTCCGCCGTCGCGCTTTTCTCCGCGAGATCCAGCAGATTCTTGGCGGTCAGCTCGTCCTGAGGGTCGGTCACGTAAACCGGATTCGCGTAATAGCACACGTCATCGGTGACGTTCGGCATCGATTTCGCGGATATCATCTGCGCGTTCATCTCCTCGACTTCGTCGCGTAGCTCGTTCAGTCCCCTCGAACTCCTCGCGAAATCCTTGCAGCCGAGTGATCTCGGCGTGTCGATTAGGTATCCTTTGTACGCACGTTTCGTTAGGTTCGACTTTTCGTTGTTTCGCAACGGCTGGTCCAGTTGATTGTTGGACCGAGCACGGCGCAGGCCGTCCTGATAGCCGAACGAACTCAGGTCCAGCCTGTTCACCATTCGCTGTTGCCGAACAGGCTTCTTCTGATCCGAGAACTCGTTCTCGAAACCGTACGCTTTCAGATCGATCTTGCGAACTTTTCGCTCCTTGTCGTCCTTACGCTCGGTTTCGATGCTCTGCTCCTGATTGTTGAGCTTGGCGTTAATCTCGTTCTTGCTGTTTTTCCTCTGGTTCTCCAGGATGTCGTCCGCGCGTCGACGGTCCTTCCACGTCGTCTTATCGGACGCGTCTTTCTCGCTTCTGACTTTCTGACGGTCGCCGCTGTCGACGGGTGCACGCGAGTTGACGACGCGATTATTCGTTTCGGGACTAATTATCTCGGCGTTGTTCCTGTACCACGACGCGGACGTCGTCGTATCTTTATCCCCTTGCAGGACCGAAATATCGTCGTTGATTTCCTCGGACGTAGGTTCTTCCTAGAACACACGAAGAATCGACTGATGTTAACGATCTAATATAGGATTCGCTCGAAAACTATTTCGTGTTCACGTTGTCTCTTGAATCTTTGCATCATTTATTCTTGCATGCTTGCGAAGAGTCACAGAACTCCTGTTCCTTTTCCTTTGTATTTCTTTTTCTCACCCGCAGAATTGTCATACGATTAATATTATTGTCTCGTGTAGTGACAACTGCAAAATAAATTCAATTTTCTAACACAGTAATAATATTAATGATATTCATAAAATTACACAATGCTGGCGTTTATTTCTGATATTATCATGATATTAATAAGAATTTTCTTAATATTGTGGTTAGCGCGAGCGTTACATGATCTGTTATATCATCGACTTTAAAGGAAATGATTGACAATAATTATTAATCATATGAACGATTTTTTGCTTAATACATACCAGTCGCGATTTTAATAGATCGGATTGTTTCTTTTTCTGTTTCTTTGTGTTTTTGTGTGTGTGTGGCCACGGCGTGCAAGTTTCAACTCTCGATTCGAATACATAATTTTGATAAAAAGGTCTTTTAACTTTTTGAGTGTCACGGAGAATAGAATATAACAATTTACGTCGTCATGTTTGAGAATCTCAATGGTTTAGGTGTTTCTTATTTAAATAAAAATTTTAATTTTGAAAGAAAAGCGCGGACTAATATGTTTTAAGTTCAGCCATGCATTTGCTTTTGCAAATGAAAAATTGGCTATTTTGTTAATTCGTCGTGCAATCAAGAAAGACTTACTTGTTAATGTATTGCGTAATCTATGTTGCAGATATTAATTATGCAATATTATTTGTTAATGTGATTATATAAATATGAACAGTATCACTCACAATTATACTGTAAAGCATTGTTTTTTTATGAGACGAGAGAACTTGTGAGCCGTCTATAAAACATTCAGTCAGATTTAGTAAATCTTCCAATATCAGTTTATTACAGTTAGTACAGGTTTAAAGAAATTATTAAGTATGCAAAATTTTACAAGCAATATTAGTGATATATATATATGTTAATTGCTGTTTAGTTATTTGGGGAAACTAACGGAAAATAACCAAAAAATTTCCAAAAATATTAGGATTTACAGACGAGCGCATAGATACCATTATTTGTTAGTCACGCGTACGCATTGTAAATAGATGGTACTTACCGATCGAAATACTCTCTTTCGCAGCTCGTAATTGCGGAATTGATTCCGTTGTGTTAACGCGAACCGAGCAATATATCTCACGAAATACATCGAGAACGTGTAGATGCAAATTAGATTGCATTCTTTGTGCAATTTGTACAAGCGTGATGCGTGCATTTCGAGTGGTAAATAACTCGGGTTCTATTGTCGATTGAAGATATATCTTGGGACTCACACCTTCACTTTAAGAAAAATGGACAGATGAAATTTATACTATGTATGTCATAATTAATACATGCTCTAACATTCTCGACTTTTTTCTCAATTTCGAAACTTTCTTGTACCAGCATATCCTCAGTTGTGTGAAATCTATGGCGGGGAAGACGCCAATCTATTTTGTATCGTCGTCCAATAATTCCGAATTGTCGATATTATAATATGTAATTATCATTCACGTCTTCTAGAACAATGATCTAAAATGATCTAAAACACAATTCTCTAAAATAATTAATTCTTAGCCCTAATCGTAATTTTCCATTACACTGAGAAAAATTTAAATTTAATCTAAAAATCTTCCATTGCTCCTTTTAATATATACGAGGTATGAAAAAATTAAAGAGTAAGTACACGTTAATGCAATAATGTAATATAAATAATATGTAGCTTAAATATTCTTTGATATTTAAAAAATCAGAAGTAAAGTCTCTCAAGTATAGTTCACGAACTCCCGCGCAATAATTTTTAGAAACTAAAATTAATATCCAGTAGCAACCATCACCTTTCATGCAGAAGATATGAATTTTTTTATTGCTCAATTAAATTAGTTGAGATCGTATCGATATAAGATACTCGTATATTATACAGGATTGTCAATGTTAGATAAATGTTTTCCTCGAAGATTTCAAGTTTAGATCCCTTTTAGTCTCAAGTACAATTTACAAAAATGCCTGAAAACGTACATGTATATTATTAGATCCTTTTTTTCATGCAAGTTAATTATCAAATCAAATAGATAATATATATATTTCTTACATACCTAGTAAGGGGGTTTTATGTATATATTTTTAAATTAATAATGAACGGTAATAAATAAACAGCAATAATAAATATTAATTCTGATCATGGATTAAATCAATAATTAGGAATTTACATGCATTTATTTACTTATTAGTTTTGCCTTTTGCGATTAGCTTTGAATTATAAGAACAATCTCGCGTAAACATGACGATCGAAAACGAACAGCCACTTGAAAGTCTTAAGGAGCGGAAGGTCAGCATTATCGTGATACACATGTCAGATTTTTATGCACCCGTATTTATTTGCCACCTGCAACTTAGCTGTATAAATATGAACTTTAATTCTGTATATGACACCTAATATATTAGCGCATCGCGCCATGGCACTCTTATCTCGAAAAATATGGCCACGCAATTGCGGTATTGGCACGAATGCATTCTCTCAGGTACATTATCGCACCGGAAAAAAATATATCAACTATATAACATTATAACAATCACCAAATGAATCTTTATAACCGTTAGCTGGATTCACCAATTATCGCGCGAGGGCTCGCATCCCGAATTTCTAAGATTCGTCTCAAAGTAGAATGTCGTTTCCTCTTCATTTCACAATCAGTTGAGTACAATAAATTGATCTATTCAATAAATTAACCAATGCATTTTGAAGCCTGTTGTCTCTCACTGTTTCTTATCAATCGTGATAAGAATTTTAGAGAAATAGGATGTCGCTGAGATTACTTTTTGTGAAGTATAGCATACTTCGTATTTCTTTAACGCGATATCCTTCCATGGCAATTGTGTCACAATTATTAGCACGATATATCGTGCACATTTTCTTCACATAGACTTTTATTTCATTTTGAAGAGTCAGCTCTTCTCCTTATCATCACCATATTGTGACGTCGCTCAAACTTCTTACATACAACTTCTTGCATCGTCCCTTATCATCGCTTTCCCCTTCTTGCCGAGATTCCTTCCAGCTCTCTGGATTCCTTTCAGAATTCCTGGTGATCGATTTCCCTAACTTTTCGCTGTTAACGTCTTCAAGGACTTCCCGATGCCTTCTAGACCTTGTTCCTCTTCCTCGCACCGCGACACCGTCATCGTTGAACGCGCACGCTTTCCGTCTTCTCGAGACATCCTTCAGGAACTTGTTCATTATAATTTCGTCGGAGGAGCAATCAATCTCATCCTGCCACTCGTCGTCCTCGTTCGGCGAAGACCAGAGGGAAGACGAGTTTACGCTTTTCTTACGAATTAGACTTTTGCGTTTCGCCGTAGAGCTCGTTCTGAAAGCACCCGTTCGATTTCTGTTGCATCCAATTTGCGCGCAACCCATGGATACTCGATCGTCCGTAACGTCGTGTTTCTCGTCCTGCCAGTCGCTTTCCTCAAAAGTCGAGCTCGTCGAGTGCTCGAAGCTAGCGAATCCTTCGAAACTCATAGAACGATTCAAGCTTGTCGGTTGATCGCAATTTCCTGAATTAACGTCAGAATGTTCGATGTTCGCCGATTCCTCCTCCGTTTCGACGAAATCGCGGCTGTCTTCAGTGCCGGAAACGACAGGCGTAGGATCCAGTAGGATCGGTCTCAATCGGATCCTCCTGTAGCTCCGAATCCTCCTGCCGTCGATCCTCCTGCTCCTCTTGATTCCGCCGAAAGTCTGAAACTTCAATTTCGCGAACTCCGAGCTGGGATCCTCGAACGAATTCTCCATCGAGGCCGATTGGTCTTCGAGGTCGTCGTCGAGCTCGTCCGTCTTCCTCGGCCGGATCCTGATGCCGCCGAACGTATGGTACTTGTATCCGCCGGTGGTCCAGAACTTCCTGCCACCGATCGACGATATCTGTCCGCCGCCACCGGGACGATCGTTATCCGCCACCCGATACAACTGTCGCCAGCGACCGTGCTCGCTGTTCTCCGAATCGCGGGAGCCGATCGAGCACATCCCGGAGTCGTGATCGCCCGGATCGCGATCGTCCCGATCGCCCGGTGATCCCGCGCGATTGTCGTACCGCGGCACTATCGGTTCCTCGTGATCGACGCTCTCTTCGCGATCGTCCCAAGACCGGTTCCAATCTATCGGCGCTGACTTCCGAGAGTCCGTGCCGGCCTCCGGATTCTCCGCCAGGACGTGGTTGTCCTCTTCCCTTTCAGAAATAGCTCCTACATACGAATCCACGGAATTCTTAGATCCTCGATCATCTCTCGCGTCTTCTCTCGGGTTTTCCCTCTCGTATATCATTCGAATGTCGTTTCCTACGAGACACTCGTCTCGCTCGCCGTCGCCGTGGCGCGATCGATCGTTCGCGGACTCCAGATGCAGAAGAGGGTTGATCGCGAAGTGCGGACTGGCGCGGGGATCGCGACAGCATCGTCTAGGAAGGCTATCGCGCAGCGAAGCGGCTTCGAATTGCTCGAGCTTGTCATGACTCACCTGTCGTTCGTGTTGCTCGTCGCCGGCGCAGCTCGATCGCTGGGACAGCGAGCTGCTCGGTCTGCTCGACATCGAGGACATCGCCGACCTAGCCGGTTCCTGCCGCTCTCCAGTAGCCACCTTCGATTGGTTGATGTAGTAATCCCTGCCGAATCTGTACAGAAACATTGAGTCATTAACGTCACGGAGCTTTAAAGAAATGATGGGCTCTTGTGATTCTTCTTTTATTTCAGTCTTTCTTCTGAGCCCGTTGTTCCAACCACTCGGTAAATTAACTAATACAGTACCGGTCAGAAGTATATCACCTTTAGGTTTTCTGAGCATAACTTTCGTCAAAGTGCACCGAATGTGCTCAAAATCGAAGGGTAATGAAATTGGACAAAGTACATCATGATTTTCGAATTTTTCATGCGAACACCTTAAAATTAGTTATGCTAAAAAAAATCGAAAGGTGACATATTGGTCGGTACTGCAGTTAAATCATATATATGTCTTTGTTTTTTCTTCAAATTAGACAAAGATAGATGTGTAATTTAAATACTTGTTAGCCTATCAAGTTTAGTAACGTTTTAAGTAAATTTTAGGCTTTAGAGAGAAAACAAGAGAGATAATTTGTTTGATATTTGAATTGATTTTGCGCGTGTTAATTATTATTAGTCTTTTACTTCGGAAAAATTAACGAAAATTACCGTTTAATGTCCGGTCGACTGGGTGTCAGGGTCTCCAGCTGGTTCACTTCGTTCAACTTTGTTAACTCATAATGATTTCTAAACAAAGTGAAAAATCGAGCTGAAAGCTTCGCGGCTACAATGAGACGGTGTACTCGGGAAAAATTTCTCATGCGATGCTTACCCTGGAATGTCCGAACTTTTTGAATATTGTCTCTCCAAGCATCGCTTTCGTATGCTCTCCTCGCTGTAGGGATTGTTTTCGATCGGCGGCGCGTTTTCCCACTTTTTGTGCTCGCGTTCCGCTATTGTGCCTGTCCGATACATTTATTCACCGTCATATCCGTGATATGCTCATCGTGATACATGAATATTTCATTATATTATTCATGAATCTACTCGCATTTTATTCAGACAGAATTTTTTAAAGAAAAGTTTTAATTAAGATTTTGCTTTTTACACCTCAAAAAAAAAAACCAATGCAACATATTAATGTACCATTTCTCGCTTTATGTGATGGTAACTTTTTGAAGCTGTAAACTTTCATTCGACTTTTCGGAATTTTCGACTTTTATTACACGTCACACGATCATTTCTTCGTGCGTATATGTGTGTAGGTTTATTATTTCCTCTATATAAAATTTATATTTAAATATTGGTAAATTATTTTGTACATACGTTATTTTACTATACATCGGGAGGATAAAATGAAATTTCTATTGTTCTTTTGTAAATCCAAAAAAAAAAATACGAAGATGTAAGGAATTGTATATTGCGTACAAGTTTTTTTAAATTATGAACAAGTGAGGTTACCTGGTCGTGGAGGAGCGCTTAATGGGTCATTTTCACTTATCATGCCATCGTGATTCTCGCCGATTGTTGCGTAAGACAATTGGACTTCGGTTTCTGAGCGTTTGCTGCATAAAGTCAAAAGAAAAATTATGAAAGACGTATTTCGTGCCGCGGCGAAACTGTGAAGAGAATAATGTAGCAGGATACGGAACTCATGCAACACCGAGTTGCGTAGGAAACTGGAACTATCATTATCGTTTATTACGCGTTCATTTCGAAACCTGAGCCGAGTTTTGCTTCATTCATATTTATTATATATCCTTATAAACATATGAAAAATCCAAAAACAAAAACTAAAAGAACAGAAATCGGAGATAAAAAATGTATATTTTACATGTATATAAATTTGAAACAGGTTTAAAATATAAATTATAATTATATGCTTTTATTTTAAAGTGATAAAATCATATATATATATATATATAATTGAGGAAGAAGAATGTTAAAAGCTATTCAAATATTTTATTCCTACCTTGTTGGTTCTTTGATAAAATTGTTCTCCGTTGATTTTCTGAGCTGTTCGCTCATCATTTTTCTCGTTTCATCGGGCGTCTCGCTCTCTACAGAGTAAACTTCAACTTTCGTCAAGCTGTCTAAATGTCTCTGGATTGCCGTGTCGTAATGTTCGGTATACTCGCTCTCTCGTTGCTCTTCGTTTTCGTCGGCGACGTTTTCCCCTCGATCGCTCCTCTCACTCGATTTCTCAGATTGCGTCTTTACTTCCTTTTGCCCAGAACTTTCCACCGCGGTCGCAATCGTCCTTTCGCCGCGCTCGGCTGTATCCTTAGGCTTCTCTTTGGTTCCGCCCTCCTCTTTTGCCACCGTTGACGCAAATGAACTTCCATTTAGATTGCTTCTATCATCTTTACATTCGTTTGCTTTCTTCTCCGAGACTTCCGCGGACTTGAGGAGTTCTTTGCGACTCTTCCCGTCAAAACGCTCACAAGTCACGTTAGTTTCAGTTTTCGTTATCACCTGGCAGGTGTCGACCTCATCCTTTCCGAATTGTTGAACCGTGGTTGCTCCTTCCTGATTGCTTTCCGTTTGATTATTTGTCGCGTCGCATTCGGAGATCCTGGGAGTCCTCGGAATCACGTTGTTGATCGCTTCGATCAGTTCCTTTTCGATCTCTTCATCCGATTTTGTGGACGAGCACTCGGATAGATCGGACGTGTCTTCGGCATCCCGGTCGCCGATCAGAGCCTTGTAATACGCGTTGGAGCTCGGGACCAACATAGCAACCGCATCCGGCTGCGATCGGGAAGTCCTTTTCTTCTGAAACAACCAATTGTCCTCCCAAGACTCGATGGGCGAGACTATATCCATCGTGCGACTGCCAGCGTGACGTTTCGTTCTGACCGATGAATGTTCGTTGCGATGTAAATCCGAAGAATCCGATGACGTTGACGGCGAAGGCGAAGGCAATTCCCGCGGAGCTATTACAAAAAATTCAGAATAAATAGTTATTGCGTGCGACAAAGTTGTAAGTTGCTTTATGCTGGAGACGGTCAGACGAGGCATTTATTTTATTCTCCACATCTTTTTGGATTGAACAATTGTCCGACTATTGAAATGTACTCTTGAATTAAAAGCAGTTGACGTTGAACGATTTTAGTAAATTTATGTCGAAGCGTTATTGTACGATATTCTTACGTATAGATTCCGCGTACTTTTTAAATATGCAGAGACACTCACGGTCAATGATGTCCATCCCGTACTCCGGAAATGGTACGCGCCGGCTGCATCCGAATTCCAAGACGCCGTCTCGGAGTTCGTCATCGTCCGACGTAATCGTAGTTACTTCCTCTATCCTTTCTTCCATCTGTAACAGGATACGATCTCCCTCAGAGAGCATACAAGATGCGATCATATTTTATCGCATTGACTGTTACGTTGAAGAATTTAAATCTGATATGCAAATTTCATCTTTCATTGCGTTTAGTATCGCTACATTTCGCCTCGCGACGGTATGTAAATGCGATCGTGATCGACGCGTCTGTACCATAAAGGACACCGGTTTCCGATGATCTTCACTCCCGATCGACGCGCCATGATCGCCGTTGCACGCGAGACGGTCGGACGCGTAACTCGTCGCATCTTCCCCAAGGCCATGCTCGCTCTCGTCTGAAAAAGGAGCATCATCCACGTAAATGTGATTTCTCCACGCTCCATGCGCGATAATATGTTAAGTAAATTCTACGCACTTGCGGTATATTTCGCTTTAGGCGAATCTGTGTCGTGCAGAACGTTGCTGTTGCCGTCAACCCGTTCCCTTTGGTATCTCTCGATGACCTAAAACGATGCGCGTAATGAATTCATATTTAATTTAAGTATTTTACTGGCGACGGTAAACTCTTTTAATTAACGATAATTATTGTAAGAAACATCTAGCGCGCCTCTTAATGTCTTACAGTCGATTCGAACGTGCAGGTTTTAACTCAACGTGGAAAATATACAAGTTCATCATCTTACAATTAATTTTAGAACATAGCGCGCCTTTTAAATCATTTGTTCCAAAACTTTCAAACGTTACTTATAATTAATTGAGAAAGTCTGTCGCTTTTTAAAACTTGGCGTTGTCTGGTGAACGCAAACAACCTTGTTGAGTATCGCGGTAGCGAGGAGATCCTCGTAACTATTATCCGCGACGGCGCGTCCTTCTCGAGGATGCTCCGCGTCCGCGGACGCATTCAATCCCGGTAATTTCCGTGCTTCCTCGACGGCTCGCTCGACGATCTCCCTGAGCGCCGCGTGCGCCATGGCTGGTGGATCCGTAGATGGCTTGTCTGGAACATCAAGTCGGAAAACTGCCGTGATCGACATTGTCATTGCGTTGATCGATGATGAAAATGTATTCCGCTGGTCATAACGTATGCAATTACTAACAAACGCGACGCAGAAGTACTTCTGGGTCAATTGTACCGTTAAAGTCGACATATTCGTTTAATGTTACATTTAATATTCCACCCCCCCCCCGCCCGCCTTAATCAATTCTTCTGTAATTCTAAAAGCTTAATTGTGATAAACTTGAACGCATACCGATTTCGTTGAATTAACGGCGGACCTCGGCCACAAAGCGATGCGGGTCATGTTCTCCCCCATTTATTCATATAATCTATATTCATTATTAATACAAGACGTACATGAGAACGTACGTAAAAGCACCTCGTTCGAGAACACGAAATTCTCGTTTGATTACGACATTGTTTAATATTCCTTTAGAATGATTTTGTGTCGTGTACTCTCACTGGTCCCCGCGAATGTTGTATTAATTCACGTTCGATTGGCGGCTCCATGGATCGATCGCGGTTTCCGCGGAGTGACTGTCGGCCACTCCGTCGTGAACGATCGAGCGCACCTTGCGAACAGTTATAGTAAAACGGGGTATAGCAAGCGCGAGTCGCGCCGCACTTTCTTCGGCGTGATCGAGTCACGGAGAGATAACGGCGATGCAGCCCGGCACCCGCGAATACCGGCCACGTCTTCGCGGTAATTTCTCCGATGCGACCTTGCCGATGATGCATCCTTACGGCCACTCCTCTCGTCGACGATTCTTGCGACTTCATCCCGTCCCTCCGTCTCTGTCTCTCTTTCTCTTCCTCCGTCTCTCTTTCTCTTCCCTTTTGCGTATCTTGTGGATCGCGGCCGCCAGGTGAAATTCACCGACCTCCTGAACTCTTTCCACGGGAAACTCGAGGTCCGCAATTTTTACTCCGTCTGCATTTTCACAGATTCCGGAATAGGCCAATAGCAATCTCAATTCAATAGAACTGTACGTGATTTAAGTGTGTACTTTTGGAATTTGGAATTTTAGATTCTGCGTATTTATTTGTCAATTGGAATGCGTGAATAATTTGCGCGAAGCTTAACTTATTGATCTTTAGAAAGAGGATCTTTAGAAGAATGTTTTTATCAAATTTTGAAAATTTGAATTACGAGAAAAATGTTTTCTCAATTCCAAAGGATTTTCTTCCGTGAGAACATAGTAACGTAATTTTTCATTCGACAGCTGAAAACTCAATTTAAAAGAAATTTTGTTTATCATTTCCGTCAACGCTAGCGACAAAAATGTACTAATGTTGGCGATTCTTCTGCTTTTGGGTGCAAAGTTGCCACGAGATAAAAAATAAGATAAGATGTTTCATTAAAAAAAATTCAGTAAAATATAGCACAAGAAATGTTTTATGAAAAAGATATGCGTGTTGTGTTGTCCGCGACATCCAGAAGATTAATTCTCAGGTATAACACTGGGCTATTCGCAAATAAACATATCGCGTGTGCGCGAACTCCCTCCTCTCTTTTCTCCCTCTCTCTCTAACTCTTTTTCCTCCTCTTTCTCTGTGTAACACTCGTGTTTCACACAGCCACTTCTTGCATACATACAGCGGAGGATCTACCTTGTCGAGGACATCCAGCCTTGATCTCGCGCCGTAGAAGGTGAAGGCCGACTACAAGTATTTTGCGCGCGTTCCGGCCGCCTTAAACATTAGTCGTATTATTAGCCGGTATATAGAAGAAGTCTCTTCAGCAAGCAAAATCGTCTTCTCTCCCGACATCTATTAATGGCGATAAAGCCAGTAACACCGCCACTGGCCTTCGATCGATCTTTTACTTTCCTCGTGCGATTATACGACGTGTCGCGGTAGCGTGACGTGCAGGAATAATAATTACGCATAATTAATCCATGATAATCGAGTGTTCCTGCTGTGACCGATCGGCTGGAAGAGACCGGGGTTCGATCGGTTCACGTGATTGTAATTTAACGTACAATCTATATGGAAAGAAAGATGTCAACGCAATCTTCAAGATCGCCGGCACACGATAAATCAAAATTGATGCAACATAGAAATCGTAATGTAGCCCGAGGATCTGCATAAATTCTCTCTATTCTCTACAAGGTTTCATCTTGCCGGTTTACTGCCGCTCAATTCTCTATGCAGCTTTCTCGCGTTGTAATAGATTTAACTTCGACTGGGAATGATCGTAGGACAGCGAGCGGCTTCGGGGTTTACCGTTCGCTTTATTTTACGAGCAATCGAATTTGAGGAAACCAACAATGCCGTCGACTTTCTCACGACGCAACGTCAATTATCGCGCTATCAGAACAATGCTCTGTAAGATAAAAATTTGGGTTGCAGATAGACACTTTCCCGTTTACACGCTAAGAATTCGACAGATAAATTACGTCTGACGTGGTAACGAGTATCAGTTTGTTATGTGAGAAACTCATTCTTGTCCGGAGAAATTCAATGTTCACTCAGTGCGACACCTCAGTGCGCGCGCGAGAATCCCGTGTTAAAAATCTGTATAACGGAAGTCGTAAAACCGTTGCGCTAAGGTATTTCCCCTTTTTCGTCTTCTGTCGATCATGACGTTATAAATGGTCGATCGCGCTCGGAGATCTTAAGATGAGGTTACTGGACCAGTTTCGCGCGTAGAGAGAACGGCGATATCTCGCGAGAACGACGGCGCGTTTTCGTGCGAAAGTTCGGGGTCTGCTGATATATTGTACAATGAATGAGAAATAAAAATTTGTACGTTCAGAGGTGCCTCGGTGGGAATAGCGTGCAGCTTGGACTAAGAAAGTGGAATATAATATGATATTAAAATTGAATATATATGGAGAGAAGTGGAAAGTGTGGAAGAGAGTAAATATTAAAATGTCTCTTTCCCCTGCAATTTTCGTTAGAAAATAGAAAATAAAGAGTTAAATAATTAAAGGTACGAGATAAATGTGGGTCCCTATTTATCGAGAAGCAAGACGTCTCTTTTTATACTAAAAAAGCTCCCAATATATTATAGTAATCGTGTCATTTTATAATATAACGATATAATTGACATGTTTTTTTGTAATAATATTCTATGTCAGGTTACTAGTTTCTTTATATCTAACAGCAACAAGTGATGACCATTGCTGTTAGCCGTTTATCTATGTCGGATTGCTTGGTGAGATAAGGAGATAAGAAATTGGAGCCATTTGCGGCGAAAAGATTACAGTACGGCGCATTTTCATTGTAACCCTGATCAAACATTATGTTAACAAATGCGTGCAGATACGAGTAATTATTTTTAACATCGAGTAATAGTTCCTTGGTGTTAATTCGTTGTTTTTTTTCTATTAAGGTGATTAGTTCTATTTGAATCTATCTCGATGAATAACATTCCTAATTTTGTGTGTAGTATCTCTTTTTCTTTATCTTCAAACGTAAATTTATAAAAGGGAAGACAAGAGACGGAGAGGAGTTTGTTAAAACTTTGCTAAAACATATGTGACAAAATTAGTAAAAGCATGGAATTTAGTAGAACACATATCGCACGTGTTTAAGAGAAACGAATAATTAGGTTTAGCACAGATATTTACCATTTTTCCTTGAGATCAGAACGTAGACGAAGTAGACGACGATCAGACCACCGATCAACGTCAACATCTCTTCGGTCGACTGCAGTTGCATTAACTGCACCTTTCACATCGTATCACGGGCTAATGCGATTACTCTGTCCCTCCGTTTCTATTCTTTCCGTCCTCCTCGGCACTTTCTCGCCAAAGTTCAGAACTGAGTCGCACACTTAGCGCACACGCGCATATACGTTTTTCATTTTAGTTATCAGCGAGGTTGAAACTTACTCGTTAGACACTACTCTTCGCGAACGCGATACCTTCGATAAGAGTAAATAGGCTCATCTTACGTCACGCGCAATATTATAGAATTATTTCTAAGTCGGAATGTAAATTGCGTTTTGCCCTAATGTCTTGAAAAGTGTGACGATGCTCCTCGTCGTAATGAAAATAGTCTAAATTCTGAAGAAACGTCCCACGCGTTCCACGAATACGAGACCACGGAGAAAATTTTAACGGTTATCGCTCCTGTGTAATCGAGACGCGCATACTTTTTATTTCTACGACTGTAGTTTTACAAAAATAGCATCGTACAAGTATCTCTTGATTTTAGGATAAAATAGATTTCACATCCGTTCAAAATCTGTGCGCGAAGATAATTTTAACGTTTGTTACCTCTGTAATCGAGATACGTGTGTTTTTTTATTTCCAGCTTAAAAAATATCATATTTCTCGATTTTAGGATTCATAAAATAGATCTCGCGTTTGGAAGTTATCGCATATCCACGCGTGCTTGAGCGGTAATACTTAATTTTGCGCCTCGGTGATATTTATCGTATTGTTCAACGAAGAATTTAAGGCGGAATCACTGACGAAAGGTTAATCGTCAGTGACAAGATTTTATATAACCCACACGTGTCTTCGCAGAATATTCACGCACACGCGCGACTACATCAGGTTTTTCTTTTTTTTTATTTCAATGAATGGTTTTTAAGTTCTCATTTGCATAGCAAATGTTGAAGTAATGAAGCATAGCGACGTCAACATTCGAACTTTAAGATTCCTTGTGAGCGGGCTTCTGCTTTTTCTAAAGGTGACACGGTTGAAGGCTATGCGACACGAGTATATCATGTTTTCCAATGTTCCCCGCATTTATTTCGTGTACATCAACTAGACGCACATTGCACGAAAGTATTACGTAAGGGTTACGAGTGTATTTCGAGGTTCAGATTGCGCGGTTTATATATTTTATGGTTTATTGCATCGATATGAATTACTTATTTTCTCATGCGCTACTTGAAACAAGATCTGAGTTTTTATATTAAGTAGTTGATAAAACGAGTATCGCAAAATTTAAAAAGTAAATATTCATCTACTGCGCCACTTGTGTACTTCTATTAATCATAAATCTATCTACCACGCCGTACGTGTCCAGCTTTCATTAACTAT